TGCAGCCTGTGATTTTCTTCCAGAATTATGTGGGAGCTATCTTGCGAGAAATTTTGTATGTCCTCAACTTGTATTTATATTCTCTGCAGCCTTCTTGTGCCCAATTTTTCGTAGTAGTGACTTGTGCACAATCAGATTAATTGTTGAAAATAGAATTATGCTTCAATATTAACTCACACATAGAGGCTAGTGGCAGGTTGTAGATTCATATTGACTTGATATGGAGTAGAAAATTATGTTTTATTGTGAGGCACCATTTTAGTTGATATTCCATATGATATTACTTTAGATTGTTTTGGTTGGGTTTTCTCTTGACAGCCAACGTTTGTGTTTAGTCAAAATATTGCACTTGCAAGGTCAAAAGGAAAAAAGAGCGTTCTGTTAGAGGTGGCTAGGAAATGAGAAGGATATAAGAGCTTAAGTGAGCCCAAGAGGGGCATGGGTAGAGACAATGAGAATTGACATGATTACTGAGGATGTAACGGAGGATATGATTTTAGCATAATGAAACACATCAAAGAGCACCATGACGTTGACCTAATAGTCTCCTGACCACGTGGCACATGCGCACATGCACACGGATTTGTGGCTACTAATCTTGGTTAAACTGAAAACAGATGCCTCCATATATTTCTTTACGATCAGGTTTTTGCTAATGGTTGAATAGGAGATTGTTATCAATTAAGTTGCATCAGATCCTAGGGACTCGTATACAGGCTTATTATTGCTATATTGCATGAAGCACATGAATTTGACAGTAGACAGGTTACTTATCCTTTGACTGACCTAGTTAAATTTTCTGTAAGATATCTTGACGCACTGATATCTTAGACTCTTAGTGGTCTTTTAGAGTGAGATGCATCTTTCCAATGCACTTCTAGTTTGGATCAATGCTAACGCAGAATGCATGGAAGGCTTGAGCAGAAATGAAGATGACTGCACTGGCATTTTGAAACAGGTACAGATTGAAAATGTTCCCGTGTATATGTTGAGGACCAATAGAATATATATACTGGGAAGGTGACTTGTTTACTTAGTATCTCATACTACCATTATTATATTATAGTCCATGATCTTAAACCGTGAACATGACTCCGTACTAGTTTTAGGAAAACAGAGTCATGTGAGGTATAACAAATTTGACAGCTGATTGCCTACATACTTTTAAACGGATGTTAAGAAGTCTTAAACTTCTAGATGAAAGTCACCAAAGAGTTACTTAATCATCATAACAAATTGACCCCTTGAGCCACTTTTCAATATTCACTTAATGGCAGTTTAGCATTATATTATCACTTGAATGAGACTCTACCTGGCATGCCTAATGACATAATGGGGCAACAAGCTATGATGTGTTCACAAGTATGTGGAAATAGGAACGGCAAAGGTAATTACAGGTCTGAAGACCAAATTGATCCCTCATATTTTTGCAATTAAATATGTTGGGGATTTGGTCGGTAATGTATGTTAATTATAAAAGTTACCTCGTCTGTCTTTGCACCTTGAACTTGTTTCTGTTTATTGTCTGTAAATTTGCTTTCTGGAGTTTATATGGGTGATTCTATGTATGCCTTATCAGGAATTATTTATTTGTCTAATATTTCTATTAATTGTTCTGTTATTGCTGTTAAACAGATCCATTTAAGCCTTTTGCCGCTGTGGTTTGCTGCAGGTATGCTTAAATTTCTGATGTTAGACATAGGGCATTAATACATACTCATTGCCTTTGTCCCTTTTGGTCCCTGTAGTTTGCCACTTTTATCACTTTGGTCTTTGTCGTTTCAATTTGATCAATTTTGTCCCTGTGGTTTCAATTTGAAGCAATTCAAAGACAATCCTCAATTTCCATAAAAAAAAGTTAACTTCTATTAGTTTTGGAGGGGCAATTCGGTCCACAAATTATTTAAAAAAAATTATTCAATAGGAAAACACCTATTAAAGACAGAAAAAAAAATCTTAAAATTGAAAAAAAACAATATCCCACTGCGGACCACCCCTCCTACTCCCCACTGCCTTGTCCATCAAATCCAGAGCATTGTCACCAACCAATATATTGTCATGGTCCAGCTGCTTAAACAATGAGAATTTGGGATTTGAGGTTTTGGTTGGTGAATTGATTTTTAAGTTTTGGGAGATTGATGAAATGAGAAATTGGGAAAGACCCCAATCTGCTGGGCACGGAGCTTCCATGTCCCTTAATCCATCGGGTTAGGGGTCATGGACTCCCTCCAAAACCCTAACCCCTCGAAACCCAGAGCGCCATCAAAGAAGCCATGCCTCCAACGTTCGACCCAAGATCGGTCCTCTAGGTCTCTCCCCGAAGAAGATAGAAGAAGACATTGATTATTTGTTGATAATATATTAATATTTGTGGGTGAGCTTGTGCTATTATTTTTGTGTTGCATTGCATTTACTTCTTGTTGTTTTTTTGTCATAAGCTTTAATTTATGTATAAAGATGCATTTGAGGATAATGCTCATTATGTCTATTGACTAGGTATAGTTTTTCTATGTTTATTAATGAAATTTAGAGTTTTTAATGTAAGTTTCGCCTGGCTGGCTTTCAAATCCTGGATCCGTCATTGTACCACAGCTCCTGGAGCTCGCGTTGGAGCTTGCCCCTTCTCTTCCTTATGCATCACATGTTCTCCGTTTCTTTTTGTGTGTTCCTGCCAATATTGTTTCAAGGTCCTGGATTATATTCTTGTTGCAGCTAATATATGGTTGTGCATCCTGTGAGAGAAAGAGTTTGGTTCTCCTGGGGTAGGTAATGTAGCTCGGAAAGACAGAGTGGATGGCTGGAAGAAGATGAAGCACGAGAAGATTGTTATTCGAATGAGCACTGGCCAAGCTACTTCAGATCCGATGTGCGACGACTCTTCATCATGGGTTCTGTCTTTATTGAATTTTCTTTTTCTTTGCAGTTATAAATATCCTGCTTCTGTCTTTATTTAACTTGGTAAAATCCTGACATCCTTTTCTGTCTGGGGTTCAAAATTTGTACGTGCTAGCTCTTGAGATTTCCAGGTTTCGGGGTGGCTTTATTTTTTTATTTTTATTTTATTTTCTCTTTTTGGCTACCTCCGCTTCATGGGTGATCTTAAGATAATGCAACTTGTAAGAAACTTAAGATATTTGTAAACTAGTGGACGACCTATTAAATATTATTGTTATATATTTCCATTCTAACAGTTTCACTTCTGAATTTTCTTTTCGAATGTCGAAGGGACTTGAACATCAGCTTTACTTGTGTTAGGGGTATTCGAAGCGATATTGGGGAGGGGGGGAATCAAAATAAAACCTCAGATAAATGCTCTTAACTACTTGAACTACAAGTTCTTTGTATGAGTTTTCAAATATGAACCAAAGTTTCGGTGAGTATTGTTAGTAGCCTGCCGCATATTTACACCTATAAATCATTGTTGGCTTGCGTACTGAAGAATTTCTTCAAGCTATTCAAATGTGGTCTAATATTACTTCTAACATTTTTCTTCTCTTCATGTGAATGCATTCACAAATTTGGTTTTCATGTTCATGCACGTACATCAAGCTTATTGTCAACTGTTTATAAAAGCAATTATAATTACAGCAAATGTATATATATATATGGAAGCCATTGATCTCCATAGGAAATGTCTTCGCTATCTTAGCTGGTTCTTTAGTCTTCAACTTGCTTAGCTCTTAATCAAGTCAACTCCTTTCCTTTGCCAGAAAATCACCAGCAGCCGTTGATATTGACTACTTCTTTGTTTCAACTCTTGCATGAGGATCCCTAGAATCAAATGAATGGAGAGCTGTAACGAAAGTCAAAGTCAATACAGTTAGGATCTGGTGTGTTTTAGCCGAGGAGCTTCACCTATACTCTCAAATCAGTTAGTGCTCCGTCAAGAGAAAACCTTTAAGCCAAAAAAATAAAGCACTCTGCAATTCTATTCGGTCTAGCTTTAATACTTTTTGGTCTCATGTGAGCTCGAACTCACCTGATCTCCACCAATGGAGTAGACATTTCCAGCCGACCGAACTCCTTAAAACACGCCACGTGGCATTATTGGCCAGGAAGAGCTCCATAAGTCAAAGCCCTTAATCTAAGGGTCAGAACCCAACCCACTATCACTAAGGTTCATATTAATTCCTAAGTACTTATATCATATGTGCCTCTTCCCATATTGCTCCTCGGTGTTCGGTCAGCTCACCATGGCTATCTCCATAGTACTGTTGTTGCTCCTCATTGCTCTAGCTCTTCTATCTGTATTTGCTAATCGTGAGTAACGCATTTACTAATTACGTTATTTGTACTATACTTATATATGATCTGATCACATCTCTCGTAAGTATTGCAAGATATGTGATCAGTAAATATACTACAAATGACATTACAATAATTTTCATTTATCATGCGCCTTATCATATCTCCTGTGGATTTCTTGAGAGAGATGTAATCAGTAATAGGGCTAGCAATAGCCCAACTTTTTTGTGCTTAATTATCATTCTTACGTGAATGCATGCATTATATCCAAACTAATTTCTATTTTTTGCTACATTTGCAGTTGTTAGCATCGATTGTGGGTCATCGGATTCCTACACAGATGAAAATTCAATAAAGTGGGTAGGAGACGACGACTTTGTTCAAAATGGCAAGTCCCAAGTGGTGCAAACCACCAACGGAGTGCCTCATGTAATGGGCACCTTGAGGGTGTTTTCAACTAGGAAAAAAAACTGTTACTCCATCAAAGCAGAAAAGGGCTCTCAATTTCTTGTGCGTGCAAGTTTTTATTATGGAAACTATGACAAAAAGTCAGCTCCTCCTAGCTTTGATCTTCAATTGGATGGAAACTATTGGAACACCATTCAAACTTCAGCTGAAGGTGTTGTGTATGATGAAGTTATATATATCACGAAAGGTGATTCTATAGAGCTTTGTCTTGCTCAGACGCAGCCTAACCAGCTTCCGTTCATATCGGCAATTGAGATCCGGGGCTTGGCCTCGGAAATGTACAACCATGTCGATTCGGAATATGCCATGCTTCTGACAAGAAGGGTTGCTTATGGTGCAACTGAAGCTATAAGGTATGCATGCTTTCTTTTTCCCTCTTTTTGTTTTGCCTAGATAAAGAGTGAAATGTTATAAGGGTTAAAAGTGTTTTTCAGATGAGCTGAACTACTTTTGGTTGTGCGGGGTATAAAAACAAAAGGTTCTTATGAGTTATTAAAGCACTTTTTATTGTTTTCTAGAAAAGCACATACTGTACTTAGTTATTTAGGAACTTCTTATAAATGTTTTTTTTTTAAATTTTTATAATAAACTACTTGCATTTTAATAAAAATTTCAATGCGCTTCTAACAAAAAGCGGTCTTAGCAAGCATTTTGACGCCTTTTTATTTTTTATTTTTTTTATTTTTTATTTTTAATGTAGATGTTATAAATTTTTAATGAGTACAATATGCAAATAAAGGACCTTAAGATTATTGGTCAGGGTAAAGCTTCTGTAAACATGGTACTTAAATGCTATATTAATTCAATCCCTCAATCCAATTCTCAATTGACTTGGCCAAACTTGAAGTCAACTTAACCCAAGCTAAAGAATTGATGTGGTGCACAAATTTCTCTCCACATTGTGCGATCACTAACCTAATATTCTTGAATTCTTTTTTATTTCAAGCTGACTTTAATTTCCTTATATTAAATATTTCAGGTATCCAAGTGATGATTTTGATAGGATTTGGGATGCAGTGGAGGTTGGCAATGGACTAGTAAAAGTCACAACTGATGCACAAACTATTGATACATCTGTGCCTGATCAGCCTCCTGTAGCTGCTTTCCAGTATGGAATAACAACCTCAAAAACATCTGAAGCAATACTTCTGGTCACTGATCTTCCACCCGTTGAAGTTCCCATCTACATCATCATGTACTTCTCCGAAGTAAACGAACTTGATTCGACCCAAACCAGATCCTTCGAGATCTACATCGACGGCAAGTCTCACTTCGACCCCATTGTTCCAGTCTATGGAAGTGTCGTTGAGATGTCCATTACCAACATAAGTGCTTCTTCAAACACTTCCTTCTCTTTGGTGGCTACTTCGGACTCGACACTTCCTCCTTTGATCAATGCCATGGAAGTTTATTATGTCAGCGGTCCGATCACGGATGGAACTGATAGCAAAGATGGTTGGTAATCTAGTCCTTAATTTTTTTTATTATATCTTACACACACACACATACAAAATTATGATATCGTAGAGATTCAATCTTGAGACCTCTAGTTTATAAGTCAAAACCCTTTTGTACCGAGCTAACTAGTTATTAAATTAAAAATAATGATAATTTTTCCCTTGTGGCTTTGCTTTTGATCTATCAGTGGCAGGTTTAGCTACGTTGCAAGATAAGTTTAGCATACTACAGGAATGGACTGGTGACCCATGCCTCCCGTCCCCATTTACATGGGATTGGGTCAATTGTTCTGCTGACGACACACCCCGCGTCACAGCACTGTAATTATTTATTTATTTACTTAATTTTTTGCTCAATTAAAGTTTTTTGTCTTATTTTTTCATATTAATAAAATATATTTATTATAATTTGTAATGCATTCAGCTATCTGAGTGGCTTTGGTCTCTCTGGGCAACTCCCAGAATTCAGCTCCTTGGATGCTCTTCAGACAATGTAAGTTGCATAAGAAAATAAATAAATTGTAAACTGCAGAAAACCTATTTTATTTTTTTTGTTACAAAATTCTAATTATGTCACTTTTGAATTATTTTTTGAAATGCAGAGACTTGCATAACAACAGCTTGAGTGGATCCATTCCTGATTTTCTTGGCGCCTTACCTAATCTAAAACAATTGTGAGCTTTTCCTAGAAAATTTCTCCTAGCATATGATATTCCATCTAATTAATTTCTGCATAATTTAACCAGAAATTTTGTCCATCTATTAGGAATTTGGCAGACAATAAACTCAGTGGACCCATACCAACCACAATTTCAAACAATAACAAGCTGAAGTTAGTGTAAGTATAATCTCAGGTTTTTTTTATAGGACATTTTTTATTGAGAGAGGCGACAACCATACTAAACTCACACACACTACACGGATGTTAGGATTCGAACCCAAGACTTTTCTTTGGGGAACGATTGCGTCCTTTATAATTTGGTGCATATTATATATTTTTCCGTATTCTTTCATTATTTTCTTTGTATTCTCAAATTTGGATTTTAAAAAAAAATTATTTTAAAATTATTTCTTTTTTGCTTTTTTGGGGGAAAAAGGTCATCAGGCAACCCTAATCTGTGTGCCTCTGGTGGGTCCTGTAAGACAATAGTTGATAACAGTGGAGGTCCTTCTTCTGGTAGCAGCAGCAAGAAGAAAAGCAGCAAGCTACCATTAATTCTTGGAATTGCAATTCCAGCTTTCTTTGTTTTCTGGGTTATTGTGGTGATCTTTGTCTGTTCTATGAACCAAAGTAAAAGGAGAAGAGCAGCTGCCATAGCAGCAACCAATGCAGGTCAGCACACAACACTCTATTAAATTGCATGTGCATTTGCATAGCTTTTGTAACACGTTATTTTTAGGGAGTTTTACTAAAACACCCAAAATGGGGGTTGAAATTATAAACAAGCACTATTTAAACATATAAACACACCCAAAACACATCATTACACACACTCAAAACCCATTTATAAACACACCCAAAAAGTTGACTTTGGGGTTGATTTTAGGTGTGTTTCTATGTTTAAATAGTGTTTGAGTTTTTTTATAAATACATGTCTAAGATTGAGTTTATTTATAAATTTATATTATTTTTAACTAGACCACGCATGTCATTCAACTTATCACGTTAAAATTAAGTCTCCGTCCACATTTTTCTTAGTAATGTTTGGTATTGTGACACATATTTTTGTGCATTTTAGGACAAAACAGTGGGCCCAATATGCCTAATGGCCCACCACTACAAGGAGCACCAATGAACCCACAGATGTTGGGTAAATTTGGAGAAGTTATGATGAATCAGTTTGCAGGCGATGATGAAGACCGAGGAACACCAGAGCAAGGAACACCTGAGCAAATTAGAAATCAACAGGTTGAAGAAAGGCCACTACAGTATTGAGTTGCTCAAGTTCCCTTTTGTTTATATAGTTGTTGTTGAGCCAAAATTGTATCCATGATTAGTTGTGTTTGAAATTTCTTAAATATGTTTTCCCCCAATGATCCACAAGAACTATCAAATAAATTTGCATTTCACAAGCTGCAAGCACGATGCTAGAATTTCTGAACGTTGCTCTCACTATGTCCTTCACAAAATTATTACAAATAAAAAAATTGAGAAGAAGTTGTAGAAGGCCCCTTAATCAAAGGCTGGTTGGTTTTTGCTGAAACTGCAAAGTCTTGGCAGCCGAAAAATCTGATTATATCAGTCCAAATACCCTGCTTCTCTCTAATAAATTTAACAACCTTAAAAGAGTAACATTGAAATTTCTCTATCGTGATCACAGGATATCCCCCAATGATGTCTTTATATAACCAAGTCTGTATACCGCAAATAACAAAAACATGCAGAGTCAGTCAATTGCACAATGTTTGTGTGAAAGAAACTAAGAAAGACCTGCGTACAAAAACACAAGCCAATTGTTTCAAAGATGTTACGATTATCAGTAAAGTTATATCTACTACTCAACATTGTCACATGATGGATTAAGAGATCACAGATATAACACATCCATGGTTGCCAGAGGTGGAAGAGCTTCAATGTTTATTGGGATGGTCAGAAGATCTGTTCAACTTTAACTGAGGCAAATTCAG